AAAAACTATTTCTTTTCTCTCTTTTTTTTAAGTTTAGCTGCTTTAAGAAAGAGAAAGAGAGAGTAGGGGAGGGGCAGAGAGAGGGAGAATCCCACTGTACACTGTTAGGGTGGAGCCTGACATGGGGCTAGAACCCACGAACCAGAAAATCATGACCTAAGCCAAAACCAAGAGTCGGATGCTTAACCAACTAAGCCACCCAGGTGCCCCAGAGAAGTATTTCCTGGTTTACTCATTTATTTTTCAATCATGATTCTGCTACTCTAATGGCATTATTTGTTCAGCCTCCTGAGCAGTGTGAGGAAATTAAGAGCTCTGAGTAGAAAGGATTTCCTTTTCTTGAAAAATCTATCACGACCTTTTATATATTTTTTTTTTGGATAGAGAGAAGGAGGGTGGGTATTACATTAAAACTGCAATTGTATACAGATGCTATAAAAGTACATCTAGGTAACTACAGCTGAACATCTAGTAAAGCAAAATATCCCTGAAAGCAATCTAATTGAAAAACCAAGCCCTCCAACTGTAAGATGAAAACCAGAGGGCAGGAGAGGTTAAAGAGCTTGCTTGGAATCGCCCAGAGAGGCGAAGCCAGCAATGAATCTCGGGTCTCCTGATTATTCACCCAGAACTCCTACTTTTCCATTCTGCTTCCTAGCCTTAAAACAGAAGTCCAGATGGAACAAACTGGACTGGAAAAATGTAACATTCTAATGAAAGGAACCATCAAGGTGTTATTATTTAGTGCTCTCCCTTCTAGAAAGAGATGGGGCCCTGGATTTAACATATCCTGGGTAGCCCCTATTTGACGCTGCTGTCTGACAGCCGCCTCTCTATTCCCAGCTCCTGCCTGCCTTCATTCACATCTTCCTTCATCACTTGAAAGGCACAGGCTTCCTTAAAAGTATTCACCCTGGCAGCAAAGGGTGTAAAAAGAAAATCGTCCTTTCCTACACACATTCAGAAATTACCAGGCAGAAACCACCAGGTGGACGTGAACTAGACAAATTTTTCATCCAGAATTTGGCAGCTTGGCTGAAAGTCCAACATCATGACTAACAACATCACCATACTCTTTGCAAGGCAGGAATTACACGGTAAGCAGATCATTCTTCTCTTGGAGGTGGAGACTGGGAATCTCTCAGGGTTGCTTCCAAAATGACAGGGGCATCTCCTCCTGCCCCTTTGGCCAACTTGCCTCCAAAATGCATTAAGAGTCAAGGAACAGTAGGGAATTGTTGGTTGAGGTCTTAAATAATCCTGACCAGATAGCTGGCTTAAAAAAGACGTAAGTAGAGAATGCCAAACAGTTCGAGTATGCTTTCGAAACAGAGAAGAAAGCGGGCAGAAGACAAGGAAGTTCCTGGTTCTATTAACTTGCCATTTCCTTGGAAAAACAGACTATTTTCACCTTAACTCCCTTCCAGTAGACCTCTGTGGTTTGAACTTGTCCAGGATCCTTCCAGCCTTTCCTCTAGTACCTCCACTGGGATATTCCCCGGCGTACCACTCGTCTCCCACTCTAAGGCCTTGTGATTCAGAGAGTGAGGGCCCCGCTATGTTCCCACCCCTCCCAGGGTGTTGAGTGGGCCTCAGGCACCGTTATGGCCAACCTGTATGTCTGTCCCTTTGACCCCAGTGATTAGCTCTAGAACAGACATGGGATCCAAATGGGTCCCATGAGGTTCAGAGATATGGTGGAATTATTGGGGAAGAAAAGTTGAGCTAATAGGTTATACCTAGAACCCTGGAACAGGGTAGAGGGGCCAGGTCACCAGTGAAAAAAAGCATAACTTAGAATGAAACTCGTGCAGTACAAAACCAAGTGTACAGATCAAGAGAGTAAAAGACAAATCCCTGATGACCACGTTTTGAGCATTCAGTCCCGGCCATGAATCAACAGATCTCCTGTTTTACTTAAGCCATTTTGAATAGGGTTTCTGTCACTCATAAGCAAAAGAACCTTGACTAACACATCCCTACGCATCTTTCAAAATCCAGTTTAATTGTCACCTCTTCTGTTTGGCCTTTGCTGAGGATCCCATCCTGAAAGAAATAAGCAATTTGCACTCTCCTTGTGCTATTTGTCTTTACAGCCACTTCTCTAATTGTACATTTCTTTCAGTATTTTACTTGTTGCCAGGCTTTCAGATTTAGGGGAGGGTCAATGTCTTATCCATCACTGAATTTCCAATACTTGCCCAATGCCTCAGACATAGTAGTCACTCAATAGAGGAGTGTTGAATTGAAGTGAATTTGATTCTAACTAGTCTTTCATCGAATACTACCCTTCAATGATTTCCCATGACACTTAGAATAAAGTCTAATAATCTTCCATGGGCCTACCTGATCTGCCTGCCTCTCCCATCTCAGCTCTGTCTACAGTGGCTCCTTGCTTTTCCTGGAGCACATCGAGCCTGTCCCCACCTCAGAGTCTTTGCATTTGCTATCCCTCCTTCCAGGAAAGCTCTTCTCTAAGATAACTGCAGCTATCTCTCCACTACCTCATTCACTCTACTACATCTACTACCCTTGGCACTCTGCCCAATTGTGTCCTTATCAGAGAGCCTTTCTCTGACAATCTTATCCAGAATAGCACCTCCACCACACTGCAACCCTCACCTGCTTTATCTGTTTTTCATGACACTCATCAACGCCCGATGCATAGTGCATGTGTATTTCTTCATTTATCACTGTCTTCACCTCTACAAGGCACGAAGGCAGGGAATTGTTTCGTTTTGTTCACAGTTGTGTTCCTAGCACTGAGGGGTTCTTATGTTCTCAAAATATTGGCTGCTACACATTTTTAAAATAACCTTAAATTTAATTGGATGGGGAAAAAAAGCAAACCCTAATATTGAAGCCAACATAGGCAAGTGAACTTAACTATATGTTAAATTGTTTTTTTTATAGTTTATTTATTTTTGAGACAGAGAGAGACAAAGCACAAACAGGGGAAGGGCAGAGAGAGAGAAGAGACACAGAATCTGAAACAGGCTCCAGGCTCTGAGCTGTCAGCACAGAACCCGATCTGGGGCTCGAACCCACGAACCGCGAGATCATGACCTGAGCCGAAGTCGAACACTTAACCAACTGAGCCACCCAAGTGCCCCTAACTATATGTTAGATCACAGTATAGCGGCACCCGGGTGGCTCAGTCGGTTAAACATCCGACTTCAGCTCAGGTCATGATCTCACTGCTAGTGAATCCAAGCCCTGCATTAGCCTCTGTGCTGACTGCTCAGAGCTTGGAGCCTGCTTCAGATTCTGTCTCAGTTTCTCTGCCCCTCTCCTGCTCGTGCTCTCTCTGTCTCTCTCTCTCTCAAATATAAAATAAAACATTAATTTTTTTAAACTGTAAAATAATCAGCCTAGGGAAAAAATAGAATTAATTATTAGAACTTTGAAACATGGTATTTTTAAACCTGTAGTGAAATATAGTCTAAGGATAAAAGTAATTGTAGCAAAAAATACTGAAAGTAACTTGGAAGTTTCTTTGTTGGTAGCGGTACTGATGTCATAATCTAAGATCATTTTGCACATATTGTTAGGATCCAGCAAAGGAATAAATACACTAATGCTGCTGGGAAACATGATCCACAATGTGGGAAAAGGGGTATATAAACACAGAATGGGGGGGGAGCTCCTAGATGGCTCAGTGGGTTAAGCGTCTGACTTTGGCTCAGATCATGATCTCATGGTTTGTGAGTTTGAGCTCTATGCTGACAGCTCAGAGCCTGGAGCCTGCTTTCGATTCTGTGTCTCCCTTTGTCTCTGTTCCTCCCTCTCTCACACTCTGTCTCTCTCTCTCAAAAAATAAACATTAAGAAGAAAAAAACTTTTTTAAAAAGCACAGAATGGGGAAAGGAAAAAAGAACCTTGTAATGTTGAATTAGAACTCTGGGTATCAGGGGCACCTGGATGGCTCAGTCGGTTAAGCGTCTGACTTCGGCTCAGGTCATGATCTCATGGTTCGTGGGTTTGGGCCTCGGGCCGGCCTGTGCTGACAGCTAGCTCAGAGCCTGGAGCCTGTCTTCGGATTCTGTGTCTCCCTCTCTCTCTAACCTTCCCATGCTCATGCTGTCTCTATCTTTCTCTCAAAAAATAAATAAATAAATAGATAAATAAAACATTAAAAAAATTAAAAAAAAAAAAAGAACTACGGGTATCAGTGTGAAGTAAGTCTGTTTCCTGGTTCTGCTTACAGAGAAAAATCTAAAAGAAATGGAATGCCAGGAGAAATGAGCACTCTTAGTGCTCAGATCTTGAGAGAAGAAGAAAGGGGAAGATATTCTCTGTAGAAGAATGCTAGATGATATCTATAGAAAGATAGATCCAAAAAAAAAAAAAAAAAAAGGAAATCACCATTTACAACCGCCAGTGGAATAACGGATTCAGGCAGGAATCATCCATGAATGCTAAAACTACTGAGTGACAGATTTGGAGGGAACAGATTTTCACATGGTCTCATGCTCTTTATTAATTTCAAAGAAAAAGTGCACCTTTCCAATGGCGGGATCTGGCAGAGAGCACTGGACCAAGTGACCAAGTGTAGCATCGCCAATAATGAGACAAACAGATATTACATGCCTCCTGATGTGATACGACAGAAGGCACACAAATTACCTATGTAATGTGCTTGCTAACATGTTTTCGCTGAATCTAAGCATTGAGGAAAGACTCAGACAAATTCAGAAATGGGACATGCCACAGGGCACATGGCCTCGACCCTTCAAAATAATCATCATGAATGACAACCACAACAGTATGCCAGGGGATTGAGACCTAACAACCCATTGTGCTATACAAAACTTCACTGAGCCCTGGATTTATTAAAAACAGGTTCTAGAGAACATTTGGGGGATAATTCGAGAATTCTGAACATGGACTGAATTAATGTTAATATATGTGTATGTGTATGTACATACTGAGTGCATAAATCACGGTACTTCAGTCCTGATGATATTGGAAGCACACAAGAAAACATGACTTCAACTTACCTCCCCGGTGACATAAAAGGCATTGTTTTTATATTCAGGGAACAACAGGAAAAAGTGAATTAGTGCACTGCAAAAAGAAGAACAACAATAAAAAACAAAATCACATGGAATCAGAAGAGCTTAAAGCTGAGCTGCCAGATCTAACACTTTGACAATAAGTTTCACATTTGAAGGAAGAGGCCATTAGGCTGTGAGCTCCTACAGGCATTATTCTCAAAGTGTCACATGTGTAACGTTCCACACTGTGGATGCTTAGAAAATAATTGTGGGCTTACTTTAGGATACTAAGAAGTTGAGACAAGTGGACATCGGCATGCTGGGCAGGTTTCCAAATCTCTGGGTTACCAACCCAGATCATCTAGCTGTTGAGGGGACCCGTGACCAAAGTGATACAAGCTTTCACCTATTATTACAGCAATTCTTTAAAAAAATTTTTTAATGTTTATTTATTGAATGCTTTAATATTTATTTATTTTTCATGTGTATATATTTATTTTTAAATATTTATTTATGAGACAGAGTGAGTGAGAGAGAGAGTGAGCAAGCATGAGCAGGGGAGGGGCAGAGAGAAAAGGAGACACAGAATCTATAGAAAGCTCCAGGCTCTGGGCTGACATCGGGGATTGAACTCACGAGCTGTGAGATCATGACCTGAGCTGAATTCGCTGCTTCACCGACTGAGCCACCCAGGCACCCCTACAACAATTCTTGGAGGTAGTTCCGCAAGTTTTATGACCCCCATTAACCTGCGTTTCTGGTGAAGTAATGAGAATGTTATTTGCTTACCAACATCTTCCTGTGGGGAACCCTGAACATTTCTAACGAGGGTTCCAACATTTAAGCATTTTAATAACAAAAGAACAAAAATGACTGGAAAATGGCCATAATCTAAAAGAAAATCACCAAATGGACAGATACGGAAGTCACAGCACGGTGGCATCTAGGCTCAAAAAAATCACACTTAGTAAAGAATGCCAAGAGCCACTTCAGTGAGTTCTACTGAAATAGATTTAAACAGACTCAAGAAATTGTTTCATAATACGCAAAAAAAGGGGAGATTATTGAATGATTCTTTACTTGACCAAATCTTTCGAAAAGGAAACAAAACTTGTGAAATTTAGAAGCTCTATCAGTGTTTTGACCCAGATTGCACTGTCTGAGAAGTTAGGCAGAGCTTTGTTCCAGCTTCCTGCTGACGGACTAAAAGCCATGAACCATCCACTGAAGATGAAAGGCAAAGAAGGAGGCCCTGCAAAGCCAGGAGGAGGAGAAAGTTCAAGGGTTACAGAAGTTCAAGGGTTACAGAGAGGCAAAACTGGGTCATTTCGATCACCGTGATCCTGGCTGCATTTAATTTTCAAAGGCGCCATAAAAATCCACCATGAAAGACCACTGTAGAGTTTTGGTGTATTTCTGTATTTATTATTTATAGTAAGTAAAGTCTCTGTAGCAACTAAATTTGGGAAGCTGCACTATATAACGTCCATATTTGTGCTGGCAATAAGCTGGCTTTAGCGTAGAGATAAAAATAGGAGTTTATTTTCCACCCTTCCCTTGCCAACCTTCAGGCTAAAAACGACTTCTCTTTCTCTCTTCCTGCTAGTTGAAATGGCAATAGACAACTTAACATAGTAAATCTCAATTAAGCCTCATGCTTTAGCTTAAAGCTTCCTTCCGTGGAGAATCTGTTAAAGTTGTTAGGGTTGCCAGATTTAGCAAATAAAAATGCAGGACGTCCAATTAAACTTGAATTTCAGATAAACAACAAAGGATGTGTTAGTGTAACTATGACCCAAATATTACATGGGACATACTTAGATTTATAAAAAATATTCATTATTTATCTGCAATTAAAATTTAACTAGGCCTTCTGTATTTCATCTGGCAATCTTAATTCAAGGAGCTAGACTCCCAGGTTACTTCTAGCTTGAAGATGCCAGGATTCTTTAGCTAAAGTTTCCAAGGCAAGGCACCACTTGAGGAAGTTATAGTTTGGGGTGTTTTTTTGTAATTTTTTAATGTTTTATTTATTTTTGACAGGGATAGACAGAGTACTAGTGGGGAAGGGGCAGAGAGAGAGGAAGACAGAATCTGAAGCAGGCTTCAGGCTCTAAGCTGTCAGCACAGAGCCCAATGCAGGGCCTGAACTTGTGAACTGTGAGATCATGATGTGAGTCGAAGTTGGACACTTAACCAAATGAGCCACCCAGGTGCCCCAGAAGTTATAGTTTTAATATCACAAGATCAGAACAAAATTTTGGCTAATCCAAGCCTTTGGTGGGTCTTTTTTTTTTAACCTTTATTTATTTTTGAGAGACAGATCATGAGCGAGCGAGTGAGAGAGAGAGAGAGAGAGAAACACAGCATCTGAAGCAGGCTCCAGAATTTGAGCTGTCAGAAGACAGCCGAACATGGGCTCGAACCCACAAACCATGAGATCATGACCTGAGCCAATGTCGGACACATCGATTGAGCCACCCAGGCACCCCAGTAGGTCTTTCTTAAATGGGAGTGAAGAATGAAAGAGAGCAAATTTAGCAAGCTAGATTTACATATGCCATTTGCTTGTTTAACTGTGTCTTAGTCAACTATGTATAATTCTTACTCCATGGTGAGGGTTTGCTCAAAAATATAATCTAGAATCATGCCTACATAAAATTTCAAATTTAGAAGCAGAATTGCCAAAATATATAAAGCAATATAGACATGTGTGTGCATTCCACACATTTATTTAGTCACAAGAGCTAGATGTCCCAGGAAGCAGGTCTCTGCCAGATGATTCCATTCAGCAACCTTGCTAGCTTTATGCCAGGGGCCTTCGCTAATAACTAGAATTTTCGTCAAAGGCCACCTGGTGGTGAAAGTTACACTAAAGGACGACAAGAAATCCAGCTTGCAAGGCAGAATGACTAGGAAGAAATTACTCCTCAGACATATTTTGTAAAAACGAAAGCTGGCAGGTTTGGGGCACTGCAGGTAGATGGAAATGGTCATGCACTAGAGAATTCAGAGAGGTCTAATGGAGTCAGAGGCATAATAAACACAAGACGTTCAAAAAAATCGAAGTTAAAATAACCTAAGCAAAAGTTCCATGCCAACTAAGGCCAGAAAAGGGGGAGCTTTAGTCACTAACGGTTGGACTGACGTAAAGCACAGTGACAAGAAGCTTGGCAGTTTTGTTCTGTGGCGGCCCACGGGTAGCCATCCTCCACATTCATTCCATCCCCGCTGTGGCCGGGCCACCATCTGTTCCATCCCGTGCCAGCAGTGTAGTGTTCTGATTTAATATGTGATACCTGTTTCATCCTCACCTTGTTATGAAGCATTTCTTAGCAATTGATATTATTTCCCATACAGAGCAGCAGGTAGAGTAGAATGATAGTATCATTTCCATCCGGCTACTCAGTGACTAACTTCAGGCACGCTATTAGATGGGTAAGCACCAGACCAGGACTGTGGGGGCTTGCTGACCACTCTATTATCAGCACCAGGAACAGTGCCTGGCACATAGCAGAAAATCGAGAAACAGTAGTAGAAAGAGAATGGCACCAGATGGGACGCTCCAAACTAAAGTTAGTAAATTTATTAGTCTTTAGTATATTTGTTTTTCCCCCTAAATCAGACGGGCATTGTGGCTCAAAAGCATGTTCCAATTACAAAAAAAGTCAAATGTTTGAACGTCTTGTTAGTAAAAAGCCTTTGTTTCCAAACACACAAAAAAGCAGCCCAAGTATGAATGTCAAATGCCTTGTCAGGAGTCTACTCCTTACAGCCATGGACTGTCATTCATAGTCAAAAGTAATGGGATTTTCAGTGAAAAAAAAAAAGATGGTTTTCAAAAGGAAAAAAAGAAGGTCTACTCTTTAAACCTGTAGTAACCCGTTGATGGCTTTCAAAGCAACTTTCTTATTCCAAACACCCATTTGTAGAGCTGGAGAGAAGAATGTAGTCACAAAGGGAAACAAATAGTGTAAACTATAAAGGAAACAGCTGAAATCAGTTTTCTGCACTACCCTTGATTAGCTATTTTCCAGTTCTAAGAGCCTGAAGCAAAAAGAACTAAAACAACTATAAACAATGGATGCTTTGAAATAGGTTCTCTTTCACATGTCATGCAAGAGGAGATGTACCACATGTCAGCAGTATATAGCCACACGGAGGGCCAACTGGAAGCTGTAGCCATCTTTGGGGGAGGGGAAGAAGAGACAGGAAAAGAATGGCCCAGTTGCATGCTCTCGCTTAGAGAGGATGGATGCATTTCTTTACCACAGAACCTCCGCCCTGTGGGTGTTGGCTAGTTAGACAACTGAGCTTGTTTGGATTTAAACCAAAAGAGGGTCAGAGGGGGCAGGGACGAAAAAGGGGAGAAGTAAGTGGCCGATCTGAAAAATGAGAGCACACAGTCACTGCTCGTGGCGCTTGAGTAAACTTGTAAGGACAGTCATCATGATTATGTGTATTAGGGAAAGAGGAGGCGCCTGAACTAGGTGCAGAGGAGGGGGAGTCCGGTGGAAATCTGGCTAATCTGTTCCCAGGACCCAATGTACCTGGAAGCAGAAGTATAGGGTCCTAGCCATGCCCCCGGAAACGGAAAGGAAGTGTCAAAATAATGGGACAAATGACAAATGAATGTGTAGAAAACAACAGCCATATTGTTTGCTGGGTCCGAAGAGAAGACAGGAAGAAATATCTCAGGAAGAAAGACCAGAAGTTACTCTTTGCTCCATTCCCCAGCCATCTGCCTCAGGGAGAAAGAATAACATGGAAAAGTTTTGTCAGAGATCAAAAAACTCTGACTTGTATTAGATTTACTTTCACTTTAGTGATTGGTTGGGTTTGCTCACCAAGTACTCAGCAAAATGAGTGTTTGGTGCCATTAGGAAATAGGGGAGCTGGTTATCTCATTCTGGCCTCTAAGGTTCTTTGAGTCGATTATTATAGTGCATGAGGGGGTGCCCTAGTGATCTGAAAGAATTCAGGACTTGACCTCTCATAACAATTTACAGACTGGAAAAATGTGACCAAATAAGAATGGTCACTTTAAAAAAAAAAAAAAAGAGTACTAAAAATAGCTATATAAAATATGAGTAGAAAAAAGAAGAAATTCTACATACACTGTTTGACCAGGCTTACAATTTTACATTTTACTTCCATTTTTTCTTTTTTTTTCTTTTCAAGTAAAAGAATAATTATGGAAGATGAAGGAAAAACTAAGAGACTAGCCTATGAGCTAAGCTCTCAGCCTGGGGAGTCATGAAGGAGAAGCAAAGGAGAGGAAAATTGCATCTGAAGGCCCCAGAAAGAGGAATCCTGAGAAAGAAAGGGAACAAGCAAGAAGATGTTGTTTCTGGGCACATGCAAAGTTAAAATACAATGTTGGAAAGCAGGCAACATCCTCTCAGGCACCTGGTGGAAAGGTCTGAAAATAATGTATGGTTGAATAATTCTTCTCTGTTTCTGTTGTTTCTTAAAGGGTATTTTTATGAAATTACAATCATGGATTTCAGCCCTCCTAGTTATTTTCTCTGCTGGCTATTTTTTTGTTGTTGTTCATTTATTTATTTAAATTCAAGTATAGTGTAGTGTTGGTTTCAGGAATAGAATTCAGCAATTCTTCACTTACAGATAACACCCAGTGCTCATCCAAATAAGTCTGCTGGCCATTTCCACAATTATCAGTGATAAGGTAACAAAGCAAAAAGCAGACTGTGTGCTCGTGCACACGCACAGGTGTGTGTGTATGTGTGTGTGCACGCGTGTGTGTGAACTCCTCACGTAGAAGTATTCTTTTTTTTTTTTTTTACAAATAGTTTATTGTCAAGTTGGTTTCCATATAACACCCACTGCTCATCCCCACAAGAGCCCTCCTCCATGCCCATCTTCCCCCTCCCCCCCAGACCCATCAGTCCTCAGTTTGTTCTCAGTATTCAAGAGTCTTTCATGGTTTTCCTCTCTCTCTTTCCCCCACTCTTCCCCCCCTTCTTCTACCCCTTGGTCCTCTGTTAAGTTCCTCCTAGTCCTCCTATACGTGCAAACATATGCTATCTGTCCTCTGCCTGACTTATTTCGCTCAGCATAACACCCTCAAGGTCCATCCATGTTGCTACACATGGCCAGATTTCATTCTTTCTCATTGCCATGTAATATTCCATGGTATAGATAAACCACATCTTCTTGATCCATTCATCCGTTGATGGACACTTAGGCTCTTTCCATGTTTTGGCTATTGTTGAGAGTGCTGCTATGAACATTGGGGTACATGTGCTCCTATGCATCAGCACTCCTGTATTCCTTGGGTAAATTCCTAGCAGTGCTATTG